TTTCTTTATTAATAAACTTAAAAAACAAATTGAAATTAAACATAAATTCCGTGAGGATCATGGTATATCCAAGGTATATTTTAGGCAGTGAGTGTGTAGGCTAGCTCTCTGATATCTCTTCTTCTAACTTCTCATCTCATATGAGAGCTCTACCCTCATAATCTCATCACCTCCCAAAGTCCTCACCTTCTAAAACTATCACATTGGGGATTAGGGTTTCAACATGGGACTTTTGGGAGGACACAAACATTCAGTGCATAGCACTGATGCCTTGAGTTGAGATCAATTTTTAGATCTTTTAGGAATCAGCAAACTGTTTTCCACAGAAGTTATACTAGTATACATTCCCACCAACAGTGTAGAAGTGTTGCCATTTTCCCGCATCCTCTCCAACATCTATTATCTTTTTGGTTATTGATGATGGCCATCCTAACTGAAGTTAGATACTATCTCAGTGTGGTTCTAGTCTCTCAATAAATCCTGCTTTCTAAAAAAAAAAAAGGTGTTATACGCACCTCTCTATATTTCACCCTTATAACTTGAAGGCTAGTCAGCCTATCTTCACCCTACCCCATTTTGGGTTATTTTTCCTGATCATTAACATTAAAGCATTAATATTAAAGCAAAGATAGATTAAAGTAACATAGTTAATATTAAGCCAAGGCATACTAAATAAAGGAATGGAATTAAGTGGGCTTAGTTTTGTTGTGTAGTAGGTAACCCTAGTGTGATTGTTGGGAAGATGCTCTAACACATTGAAGAGAGGAGGGATAGAAAAGAGGAGAACTAACATTTACTGTTTTTTTTTTAAATTTTAAAGATGTGGGGTACAATTCAGGGTTAGGTATACAGATGTTCACTATGCAGGTACCCTTGTGGATGAGATGTGCCCCCTATCCCTGGCAGTTTCCCGTTACTGCCAATCCCACCCCCGCCCTCCCCTGGCACTGTCCCATGATTGCCAATCCCTTTCTTACAGTATTATGAGACTTATTCAAGGTTCGCTTACAAGTGTGAACATGTAATACTCGGTTCTCTGTTTCTGTGATAGATCACTCAGTATTATAGCCTCTAAGTCCATCCAAGTTGCTGCGAAGTTCATAATTTTGTCCTTCTTTATGGCTGCATAATATTCTTTCATGTATATGTACCACATTTTTTTATCCAGTCCTCTTCCGATGGTCAGCACAGTTGGTTTCATGTTTTTCCTATGTGAATAATGTTGCAATGAACATGCATATGCAGGTATTTTTTTCATAGAGTGATTTGAGTTCCTTGGGGTATATTCCAGTAGGGGGATCGCAAGGTTCTATGGGAGATTGATTTTTAGATCTTTTAGGGATCACCAAACTGTTTTCCACAGAGATTATACTAGTTTATACTCCTACCAACAGTGTAGAAGTGTTCCCTTTCCCCACATCCTCTCCAGCATCTGGTATTTTTTGTTATTGATGTGGCCATTCTGACTGAAGTTAGATGGTATCTCAGTGTGGTTTTAATTTGCATTTCTTTGATGACTAGTGAGACTAAGCATTTTTTCATGTATCTGTGGGCTGCTCATATGTCTTCTTTTGAGAAGTGTCTGTTCATATCTTTTGCCCACTTTGCAATGGGACTGTTTGTTTTTTTCTTTTGGTACATTTGAATTCCTTGTAGATCCTAGGTGTTAGTCCTTTGTCAGATATACAGTTGGCAAATTTTTTTTTCCCAGTTTGTGGGCTGTCTCCCCACTCTCTCAGCGGTTTATTTGGTTTTGCAGAAGCTTGTCATTTTGCTGATGTCCCACTTGTCTATCTTATCTCCTATGGCCTAGGCACTTGGGGTTTCGATCAGGAATTGGCTGCCAGTTTCAATGTCCATGAGGGTGTCTTCTGCATTTTCTAAAGTTCTTATAGTTTGAGGTTTTACGTTTAGTCTTTGATTCATTTAGAGCTGATTTTTTGTGTATTGTGATAGGCATGTGGTCAGCCAGTTTTCCCAGCACCATTTACTGAATAGGTTCTTCTCTCCCCAGTGGTTGATGGTGGAGTCTTTGTTGAAGATGATGAGTTGGTTGAGAAATTAAGGTTTTGTTTTTGGAATCTCTGTCCAGTTCCATTAGTCTATATTCCTGTTCTTGTACTGATACAAGGCTGTTTTGATTATTGTAGCTTTATAAGAAAGCTTAAGGTCTGGGAGTGTGATGCTTCCCTCTTTGTTTTTTGTTTTTGTTTGAGTTGGAGTCTCACTCCATCGCCCAGGCTGGAGTGCAGTGGCATACTCACGGCTACCCCTGTGTCGACCTGCTGTGCTCCAGTGATCCTACTGCCTCAGCCTTCCAAGTAGCTGGAACTGCAGGTGCATGCTATCATGCCTGGCTAATTTTTGATTTATTGTAGAGATGAGGTCTTACCAAGTTGCCCAGGCGGGGTCTCGAACCCACAGGCTCAGGCAATCCACTTGCCTCGGCCTCCCAAAGTCCTGGGATTGCAGACTGAGTCATTGAGCCTGGCTCCGCTTTTTTTATTTTTTCTGAGGATTGTTTTGGCTATTCATGGCCATTTATGTTTCCATATGACTTCCTGTGTTGTTGTTTCCAGGTATGAGAAGAATGTTTCTGGTAATTTAATGGGTAGCGCATTAAATCCATAGATTGCCTTGGGTAGGGTGGACATCTTAGCAAAGTTGATTCTTCCAGTCCATGAGCATGGAATATTTTTCCATTTGTTTGTGTCATCTTTGATTTCTTTGAGCAGTGTTTTGTAGTTTTTGTTGTAAAGGTCTTTGACTTCTCTGGGTAGGAAGATGCCAAGGTATTTCATTTTTTTTGTCCAACACATTCTTAAAGGGCAGGTAATTAATCTACATCAAAGCATAGAAAATTAAGAAAGCCATCCAATTTTCTTTAATGTAGCAATAAGATATTAATATCAAAGCCTGGCAAAGATGTCATCAAAAATAAGATTAGAAACCAATGATAGCTGTGCTCGGTGGCTCAGCCTATAATCCTGCGCCTTGGGAGGCTGAGGTGAGTGGATTGCCTGAGCCTGTGGGTTCGAGACCCCGCCTGGGCAACTTGGTGAGACCTCATCTCTACAATAAAAAAAAAAAAAAAAATTAGCCGGGCGTGATAGCACGCGCCTGTAATTCCGGCTACTCGGAAGGCTGAGGTGGAAGGATCACCGGAGCCCCAGCAAGTTGAGGCTGCGGTGGCCGGGAGCGGCCACTGCACTCCAGTCTGGGTGCCAGAGTGAGACTCCAACTCAAGACAAAACAAAACAAACAAACAAAATTTAAAACTATGAAAGACTGTGCACAGTAAGGTGTAATACTTTTGTTTGGTAGGATTCACACATGAAATAGTGTACTGCCAGGTGCAGTGGCTCATGCCTGTAATATCAGCACTTTTGGAGGTGAAGGTGAGAGGATTGCTTGAACCCATGGGTTCACAACCAGTGTGGGCATTATGGTGAGATCTCGTCTCTACAATAAATTAAAAAATTTGCTAGACATGTGGCAGTGCACACCTGTAGTTCCAGCTACTTGGAAGGCTAAATCAGAAGGATCACCTGAGCCCAGCATGTCAAGGCTGCGGTGGCCAGGAGCACGCCACACTCCAACCTGGGCAACAGAGTGAGACTCCAACTAAAAAAAAAAAAAAAAGTCTACTGAGTTTAAATAATATCTTTAAAATTTGAAATGTATTCCTCTTTCCTAATTGTTAATTGTTTTAAGATGAAAAAATGAATCAAGAAAATGATGATCATAACTGATTACATGATTGATACTGAAAATATTTTTATCATCTAGAGGGAGTGTTTTAAAATGATGTGCCCTAGATCAAACACAGCCCTTGAAGTACCTGAGGACTATTTTCACAGGCCCCTGAGAGTTTTCTCTTCCCAGGTAAATGGCCAGGATTGTTCACCTGGCACACTTCAGACGACCTGCCTGCTTCACTCTGTTACCTCAAGAGCCTGGTGGGGACTTTCTAAGATTGTCACCCCCAGAATGCTGAATTCTGCCAGAGAGAGAAGTGAGCACAGGTTTTAGAAAAAACCTGCATTTAAACCCTGGATTTGGCCTCAGGCAAGTCATTTTCTCTTTAAGCCTGATTCCTTGATATCTATAGTTTGGTTAAGTGTCTCTTTTTTTTTTTGTCAGAGTCTCACTCTGTCACCCAGGTTGCAGTGCAGTGGCACACTTGTGGCCACTACGGTCTTGACCTGCTGGGCTCAGGCAGTCCTTCCACTTCAGCCTTCCAAGTAGCTGTAACTACAAGCATGTGCCACCATGCCCGGCTAATTTTTTGATTTATTGTAGAGATGAGGTCTCATCAAGTTGCCCAAGTGGCCGCTCCCGGCCACCACGGTCTTGACCTGCTGGGCTCCGGCGATCCTTCCGCCTCAGCCTTCCGAGTGGCCGGAATTACAGGCATGCGCTACCATGCTCGGCTGATTTTTTGATTTATTGTAGAGATGAGGTCTCGCTGTCCAGGCGGGTCTCGAACCCACGGGTTCAGACAATCCACTCACCTCAGCCTCCCCAAGGCGCGGGATTACAGGCTGAGCCACCGAGCCCGGCTTCTTTTCAGGCTTTTTATCTGTCCTACCTTATCCTGATATATGATTTACCATTTTTTTCCTGAGAAAGTGAAATATTTGAAAAATGTGTCTTTGCAAATTCTCCTTCACTGAACTCCCTTCAAAGTCCTGATAGGGCTGACTTAGCCAATTGGCTGTTCCATCAGGAAGTGCGTGGCAGATAGGAGTATGTTGTGAGCATTTGAGCAGGGTTCATGTTTTCTAATGGTGTTTTATAAGTAACTTTTCTTATCCTGGTGGTTATTTGTGTTCATGCTGCTAGTGGGAGACCTAGGTCCTCAGTGGTAGACATGGAAATCTCAGAAGCAAATAGTAGACCATAGGGAACAAAAATCTCAAACATAGACAAGGGCAGATCTGTTTATGGTGAAGATGAAAATGAACTGAAGACGATTTTTCTGGTACCTTGTTTCTTAGCATCCTGATGAAAAGAGATTGGAAGGCCTCTCCAAGCAACTGGACTGGGATGTTCGAAGCATTCAGCGCTGGTTTAGACAAAGACGCAATCAGGAGAAGCCAAGCACGCTGACGAGGTTCTGTGAGAGCATGTAAGTTCCTGTTTTCTTTTTGAAAGAAAATCCTGCCTGTGTACTAATGCCAACCTTAAGGTGAAAAACAACAGATCCATGCAGGCTCTAGCAGCCCTTAAAGAGCATTACATTTGGTGGAAAGCAGTTCAGGAATAACTGGGGGAACAGTAGTTTGTAAGAATTTGTGATTTCTGCTTTACATAGTCAGTGAAGTTTGCTTTCTAATGGAGGGCCTACAAAGTAAGCAGGCTACAAGGGCCTATGATGGTATTTCCAACGATCTTTAAAAAGGAACATTAAGAGTAATTACTTTTTTTTGTTTTTGTTTGTTTTGAGTCTGGGTTTTATTCTGTTGCCCAGGCTGGAGTGCAGTGGCAAGATTACAGCTCACTGCAACCTCAACCTCCTGGGTTCAGGCAATCCTTCCACCTCAGCATCCCACATAACTGGGACAGCAGGCATGCACCACCAAGCCCAGCTAATTAAAAAAAATTTTTTTTTCTAGAGATGAGGTCTCACTAGTTGCCCAGGCTGGCTTCAAACTCCTGGACTCAAATGATCCTCCTGCCTTGGCTGCCCATAGTGCTGAGATTGCAGGTGTAAGTCACTGACCCTGGCCTTGAAAGTAATTATTTTTATAAATACTGATAGTTTGGATTTTAACAGAAGGGACTTAGTCAAGATGTTCTTTCCAGTGGTAAAAACTGAGAAAATAGGATATTTTATCAGAGGGTGATGACATTGTCCTACATTCCTGAGATTTGAGAAATGACTATATTATATTCCTGGGTGAGTTTAGTAAAGCATTGCTTAAAAGGCAGGGGATGGAATGAAGGTCTCTTCTTCCATTTCCAAAATGGGAACTTTATGGTGTATAAATTATATATCAATAAAGCTGTTAAAATAGTAGAAGACCCACAGAGAACTCTTCTAGCACAGTGATATTTTCAGGTAGTGATTCTCAATACACTTACCTATAGAAAAATCAGAGATTGATATACTGAGAACAACTCCAGCAGAGAGAAGATTCTGCCTCGAGATTCAGTATCTGGACATTTGGTCTTCATCTTTTGGGATATAACAATTCATTTTTTTTTTTTTGAAAGAAGGATTTGTTGAGAAGACAGAAAAGCTCCCACAATAAGAGGGGACCCAAGGGGGTTGCCCAGGATATGGCGATTCTTTTGTCTCATAGTTCTTTCTTTAGGGAACTTTTTCTTGACACCTGGTTATTTAAGCAGTAGTGTTCTCAGTATAGCTGTCTTCTTTGCAGGCCCTTTCTATTTGGAGTTGAAGTTGCATTTTCAGTTTGGGCTTTCAATTGTGCCCCAAAAAAAGTGTTTTAGTAATTTCAACTTTAGAGGGAACCCTAGAGAAATGAATGGGAAGCAGAAAAATGTAATTAATTCCAAGGGGTGGGTATATATGGAGAGCATAAATAGGATCTTGAAGAGGTCAGAATAGTTATAAAACCTGGAAAAACAACCTAATAGATACAATCTGCAAAGCCCTTTCTATAAATGAACTTAGTGGCAGTTTATGGAAGAAGGATTTACGTATCTGGGCTCCTGGTCAAAAGCCAGAATTGCTTCCCAGCCTGGCTCTGCCACATATCCAAAGGGCCTGGGCTTTGTCACAAGTCTGAACAAGGGTGAAGTTCGGTCTCAGTGCATGCCCACATGCCGAAACTCATGTGCCATCTTCTCCTCCAACTCATTTATTGGGTAAGCTGGTGCTAGCCCCTTCTGTACGATACTGAGTTTAGGCCAGTTTCTCTCAAATACCAATGTGTGTAGATATTAGTCACCTGGGGATCTTGTTAAAATGCAGATTCTGATTCACTTGGTCTGGGAGGGCAGCTGAGAGTCTGTCCTTTTAGCAGGTTCTCAGGTGATGCTGATGCTCCCGACATATAGACCACACTGAGCAGCAACACTAGATCAGCACCTGTGTCTCCTTCCTGAACTCAACTGGTCTTTACCTGCATACTCCTATAAACAGGACAGACGTAGTTATAGCCAATTACACATATTTCTAAATGATTGCTAGTGGCATGGCAACATGGAGGCACAATTGAGGGAAAAAGGCGGTACATAAAGTTCTATGGTATTCCACCCTCAAAGAGACTTGTTACAGTAGTGTCAAGGAGCTGAGACATAATAGCCGATATTAGCAAAAACCAGATATGCGTGTTACATGATTGGTGTGTGTAGTCAGTAACTAAAGACTAAAGGAAAAATATCAACTCTGTCTTGGGGTGCCTGGTGGGGTGTTGTTGCTGGGACTAGAACTGGGTCAGTGCCGGAGGTCTCTGATCTCTCTGTTGTGTGAGATAGTGTTGGTGAACTCCTGTTTTGAAACTTTTTTCTTCCTTGGCTTCTGGGTTGCCACTAGATTCTTTTGCCTTTTCCAGATCTTTTGTTTGTAACAGTTACTCTGCATTTCCCTTGTGGTCTTCAGTTTGCTGCTTCTCCAGATTTAACCTTTAGCAAACTCTTATTTTCCTCACTCTATCTTCCATTCTCTGGGCTGAAACTGTTTCCTCCAAAGCCATGTGTCCGGTGCAGGTGTTTCTTCTGGGGTGTTGTTCTGCTAGCTCCCATTGGCAGCTCTGCTTTGCTTCCACTCCTGTCTTCCCCATTTTTCCTATGGTTTGTATACCTCATTTTGTTACATGCTAAAAACTCAAGCCAGTCAGCCACTGAGTTCATTAATTATTTGTAAATCCATCATTATGGCCCAGATCCTAATTGCTCTCGTAAGGTCTCCTTATGTTTTTGTCTCTCATACTCATAGGCATTTTGTTTGCTACCAGAACACACACAAAAAAATGAAACCCAAAACATTAAAAAACAAACTACTGTTCTCATGTCCTGCTACTTTAAAACCTTGATGATTTTTCTACAACTGTAGGATATTAGGCCTCTGAGCCCGCTGACTAGGGTGTAACCTTTACCTGCTTGTTGTCAGTTACGAAATATCCTCTTCCTTCCAGACGGTTGTGTTTCCTGTTCATGCCTTGTTCATTCCTTCCTTGGTTTGTGGTGTTCCTGGCCTGGAAACACCTAATTCCCTGCAACGCCCTTTTATTCCCTACCCATTTTCTTTTCTGAAGAAAAAATCTTTTCCCAGATTCTTTTCTGAAGGCCCTCTCTGAAGTGTGGCATGACTGTTGGAGCAAGCACAACTTCTCCCAAATCCTTAGAGCACTTTTTGTTGAGTACTGGTAATTTAATATTGAAATACATGCTGCCTTATGTGATTATTTAACTTTACTTAACTTGACTACCTATCTACACTCTAGTTCTAGCATAAGTGTTCCTTGATGTGCATAGGACCACCTCTTGTTCTTGTGTTTTTCTCACCCTTTACCACAACATACAGAGTTTGCTGAATAAATATTTGTTGCATGACTATGTATTAAGGTGGCATTGTTTTGGAAGGAGTTGCTGATCTTAGCTGCTACTTTGCCTCCACAAATGAAGAGTGCCTAATATGTACTGACTTAGCATAAAATTTGTCTAGGAGAATTACCTGACTATGGAAAGTTCCATGACAATTTTATAGACAGAGATTCGGAGTGAAGGATGGGATGGCAAAGGAGAGCTTTTAGAGAACACCATGAGGGAGAGAGTTATATTGATCTATGTATGCACATGTGTGTGTCATAGTTATTTGCCTATAAAAAATAATCAATCTGGAATAGTTGTTCTTTTTTGAGTTGGAGTCTTACTCTGTCACCCAGACTGGAGTGCAGTGGCCGCTCCCGGCCACCGCAGCCTCAACTTGCTGGGCTCCGGTGATCCTTCCACCTCAGCCTTCCGAGTAACCGGAATTACAGGCGCGTGCTATCATGCCCAGCTAATTTTTTTTTTTTTTTTTATTGTAGAGATGAGGTCTCACCAAGTTGCCCAGGCGGTGTCTCGAACCCACAGGCTCAGGAAATCCACTCACCTCAGCCTCCCAAAGGCGCAGGATTACAGACTGAGCCACCGAGCCCGGCTTGGAATAGTTGTTCTTAACCAGGGATGCCTTTCATCATCACCTGGCGATCTTTTCAAAATGCACATGCCCAGACCCCACTCCAGGGTGTCAGTATGATGACTCGCATAGAGTCTGAACAAGTATATCTGGGAGGACTTGCCCCAAGTGCCTGTGACATACATCCCTGATTAGGAAACAAGATGACTGCTGTTCAGAAATACTAAAAATCAAATTAGAAAGCAAGAGAACAGAAATTTGGGGCTTATAGATCTAGGGTCAAAATGTAAAGAATCTGTAGTTTTTCTATTATTTACGTTACCATTTTAGAAAATATAGAATCTCCTCAGGGGAGTTGTATTTCATCTTTAAGCAATGTGGAATAGCACCATGATGCATGCCAGATAGCGCTTGCAAGTGTCTGCAGGCACGTCCAATTTTTGGCACACCCATTTCATGCAGATGGACTGAGTAGAAGTTGTTCAGTAAGTAAACTGCTGATACACTGACTTGATTTTTTTTTACTTCCCTTTTGATTGATGTCAGTCATTCACAGTCATGTCAGTTTTGATGAATATTTCTTCTAGAAGCATTTAAATCCTTATTGGCAACTGAAATGGAAAATTTCAAGAGGGAATAAAGAATTTATAAAAATGAGATGCCATGTGAAACTTTTGTTATAGAAGAAACTGGTTCAGAATGGAGGCTGGTGCTGTTGGGATTATGCCTCTAGACTGATGAAGGCTTTGTCATCCTTCTCTGACAATCGCATCTGAGTTGTAGGTTTTTATCATAAATAATAATAAATAATATAAAATATCTGCCTGATGAAATAGTAAGAGATAAGATGGCAGATTAAATGGCTTCCCTGTCATTTGGGCCCTACCTATGCTCATCATTTCTGAATATTGTGCAGTGCATTTAATAGCACAGGTCTGGGAAGAAATATTTTATATGGCTTTTATTTAAGCAATCTCAACTCAGTTGGAAAGATGAATCTCCCATGTGGTAATCTGAAAATGTATGGCAAGAAATGT